ATATATCTTCACCAGTTATTAGACTTTTGAGTGACAAAGAGTACAAATGTTTTCAGTGCACGTAGGTATAATTCGATTTATCGTGGTGTTTTAGTTAAAGAGATAATTAACTGAAAGTGAACAAACTTCAGCTGTCACTTAGTTAAACGGTCAAATACAATATTTATTAGTGAGTTTCATGCATCGTATTACTGCTGTACTCTATATATTATTAGCTGTCACCTTTTTAAAGGCTGGATTTTAGGTTGTTTATCGTAGGGACGTGTTATTAAACATCTTAATTTAAATATTATATTTACATTATATACGTATTTAGTACTATTTTCAATAGGTAGTTTGAAATGTTGTCTATTACCTGAAAATATTATCATATATTTAGAATCATTTTCAAAAAGTTCATTATAATTTTACAATAAGTGACAAGGTAATGCACCATAAAATACTTCATTACGATTTGTTTTTAACAGTACATTTAGTTAATAACCTAAACACTTTGTTGTATAGGCCTAAATTCAGTTACATCTTTAGATGTACGGCTATTTCACTTGGCGACACTTTCTCGCTATATTTAGTATGAATCAGACTAACTGCAGTAAGCTGCACTGCAGCGCTTCCTTCGCTAGTGTGCCAGGACACGGTAGTGTGCGTCGATCCCTATCTGGGTCTCCGTTGTCAAGGGCAACGGTACGCTTGCAGTAAAAGCCAGCAAACTCGACGCCGCACAGCGCTTTCGGCTTTGCGCTGTAATTACACATCATATTTTTAGCATGCGATGTCTTCGCTTTTTTGTAACATAACATTTGCTTAGATGCGTTCAGGGTTCCTCGTTTTATGAATCCAGTGACGCTACAATGAAGCGTTCAGACCCGCTTGTGTTTTGTTTATGAGCTTTTTCATATGAAGAGCTTCAAGTGTCTTTGCTTTGCTTGAACGTTTGGTATCCATTGTTTTGAGATATACTTTTTATCGTCCGTGATATAATATTGTTTTATCGTTTCATGTAGTTTATAAATGTCAATTTGATTATAGTTCCAAGTATTAAAGACATCCATTACATGACACTTTAAGGAAATTCTATTTGTTCTATACCGTTAATAATATGAACTCTTAAAATGTGTTTGTTTTCTTCATTACATTCGATAGATTTAATGTGTTCTAGCAACTTTTCACTTCATTGTTTCAGAGATGGCTTTATGTTAACTTTATGATTTTTCTAGCCAGGAAGTATCCTTCTTCTCAGCAATATTTCTTAATTGTTGTTCAGTCATTATTTGTTTGGGTAGGTATTTATTTGTGCTTGATGTATTACGATGTGTAATATATATTAACGGATATCTTCTTGTTCTGTGATTACTTTAATACATATCTTATATTACTTTCAGATCAGTGATCCCTTCATCCACTTTTTTATTAGGTTTCGGCACTTTCAATGTAACAATTTCTTTACAATTATCTCTAATCGGAACTAAAGTCTCGTATTCGTATTTGATCAAGTTTTTACTCGACCAGCTGTAAGACTTCCGGCGCACGGCGCCCGCGCATACCTGCGCCGGAAATTGATATCAGACTGATCACCATCACTGATAAAACCATTTTACAATGAGCACTTCATAACCTATTTACGTGATCAGTGCTAAGTTGAAGCTTTCTTGAAATGTCTTTCAACACTCCGTTTTATTTTATTTTATTTATTAATAAACGTAATAGAATTTGATTGGGTATAATATAATTGTGCAGTGTTCCAAAACAATTTTGGTTTTACCGTACACTCGTCATCTAGTACACTTGTACTTATACCCATTAATGTCTTACTTTCTTTAAACACTGTTAGTTTTACTAATGGTAGTTTTATAAGTGTAATTTCCAATATATTTATTAGAAATAGAAACTGGTTGTTTTAAGGTTCTAGTAATAATATGCGCGAGTTTTTAATGATCGCAAAGTTATATCTTGAAATTTAATGAACATGTTTTAACGTTGAAATTCCAGCTACAGTTTTTCTCATACGTTACTAACAGTGTAATCTACAGTAATGATATTGTGCACAGGATACGTACATCAGCGTGATTGTCGACCGCTCTATTCCCGGCTATTATTTTACAGCAAATCAACGGGTAGAAAGCATACAAATAATATAATGTTATACAAACACTGGCTGTTAACATGAAAGAGAAAAGAAAGCCGCAAAGAAAGAAAAAAGAAACTTGTGTAGTCTGCAGAAACATTCGAAACACAAACAAATCTTAAGTCTAACTGTGGTTTTGAATTTAAAAAGAGAATTTATTGCAAGAACTTAGAACATAAAAGCTGTACGGCATCTTTAGTTGCTAGAAAATAAATCAGCTGGTAGAAATAAATCAATGACGAACAAGAGAACTTGGAAATTTGGAAGTTGAGTCATTTAAGATTTTAAAATAAAGTCGTTCTTTAAAACGCATCAAAATAGTATTCGAAAACTCAACGAAGCTTGAAATACGTAATAACAAAGTCTTCAATTTGGTACAAAACAAAAGCGTGTTAGATTGAGCCGCATTAGAATGATAACGAGTCGCGATCGTCGATATAGAGTTACGTCCCATCCTATTCAGGCACTCGAGTTGAATAGCGCTGCAGATGTGGCGTTTTTTACACACATCTTTCCCACACTACCACTTTTTCTGATGCCTTAATACCTCCACAAACTTACCTTTACACTTTCTCTAGTATTTATCTTTCCATTTTGATCTTTATGTCTTTCGACGCATGGTTGAGCACGTAACAACATTTGCATATGTAGCTGGAAGTTAAATTGGGTGATATAGTTTTGTAAAGATTTTTTGTCCGCACGTCTGTCTGTACTATCGGATGCGACATCGGAAATTGACTGTTTTTTGTAGTTACACCTATGAGACGGAATTGTTTGAAGGAAGTCACATGTGTATGATGCCGATTGTGTGATTTAGTATTGTTTCCCTTTGATTGTCAAATGCTTATATACCTCACACTCTCTATGATGGTTACTGAATATTCAACAATTTTCTTTTAACCTTCATTAAGCACATACCTTCAAAAACCAATACTAAAATGTTAATAATAGTAAAAGTTAAACAGCAGCGCCATTGACTGTGCGAACGTTCACCGGCGCGACTCCTCCCTCCCCAAATAAAATATTCTTCACAATTACATTTCCAAAACTTCGTCTTGCACCGTATATTCATGTTTGCACTCCACCAAGACTTTATACGGGTACCAACACAAGTGTCTGTCAACTTTATGAAAACGAAAAGTCCTTTGAGATTGCACGGAAGCAATAAGAAGAGGATTATCCCGCAGAGAAAGTATGAATCGACTTATGATATTACTTGTGGCAATAATAAGGATATTGAGAAGCACAGACAGATGAAAAACTTTTGATATCAAGGTTCAGACTTTAAGACAACATTGAGTTTTCAATGAAGCCGATCCTATAATACTAGATGAAGAATATTTCGATCCTTGTCCAAAAACCTGCTCACATTTCTTTTTAATTTCTTATTGGGCGCCTTTGAGATTACCTGCAGATTTAAACACCAAGCTAAAGCCCAAATTTAAATTACGTCGTAAGATATATTCTAAGTGCAAATGGAACATATAGTTCCTAACAAAAAAACAGTTGAAAAACATCCGAAACTAGGCAGAGGAAACATAACTCGTTCGTCCAACTAAAAAGGAAGCTTGGCATTGCACAATCCGTAGCGTTGCTCTCGTTTGTACCAGCAACCAACAGTTAGACGGAGCGAAATTGGCCAATTTGTTTATTTGTTTTCATTGGCCTCTCTGAACTTGACTCCCCATTATCGCATTCACGGGAGGAAGGCGTATTATTTATTCGATTATTCCGTGGGACCGTCCGGGATTGTCTTCGTGTCAACTTTATGTCTCTATCGGAATTCGGTCTCATTCTTTCTTGTAAAGGTCTTTGACCAACGTTCGGCCCATTTTTTTGTCCTTCTATTTCATAGTTGCTGGCTGCCTCTTGCTTTACGTAAACGTAAATGTTTACGATATGGGTACAGAATTCTAATTAGCAAAACGATCAGTATTTACTATGTTCCCCAATAGTACACTACCGTGATGTTTTTTGTTTAATTATTTAAAAGCATGTTACTAAGGAAATTCTTTGTTTACAAACTTGGTGTACTAACATGCAACAACATAGTAGGCTGCTGCTGTTATCGAAAAACAACAAATTCCTACTGAAGCAGACTAACTACGAAGCATTTGTCAAATTACTAATGGCAAAGTCTAGAGTCTAGACGATTTGAACTCGAGATCTTTTTAATAGAATCAGTAACGGAAGGAAGGCATTTGGAGCTTTCAAACTCCCGTTCAAGATGAGTGCAGATGCAACGGTTTTTAGATAAAAATCGACATTCTTTTCGGTTTAAATTCGTTCGGGACAATTAAGGGTTAAATTACGTGACATCATGCGCGTCGCAACAATGACGCGCCGATGCGTCATCGCGCAAATGCCATTTCTTTGATGCGATCGAATTGTGGCTCTTTCCACAAAGGCTTCCATCACTACATTAGTTTGAGATGCTTCAACTCTGCCTGTAGTGACAAACAACTGCCTGTTACTGGTACACTTATTGCGTTGAATCAATTGCGCACTTCAAGTGTTGGTTGTAGTTGCTTTACTCTGTTACCAACATCACGAATAACTTTATCGAGTATAAATTCAAAAGTCACGTATGGGGTCAATAAGTTTTTAAGTACATTAAGCCCCCAAATTTTTTCCATGCATTTCAAATTTACAACGATCGATTCGCGAAAGCTCCAAACAGCGAAAGCTCCAAACAACGAAAGCTGTGGCGGAAGCACGCAAACGCGCACCGGACCTCGCTTCACGCTCCACTGCCGTCGCAACTCTTGTACCTCTACTCTAAAATTGAATCCACAAAAAGCTTCCACTCAAAACTACACTTCCACAACTTGAAAGCTCACACAAAACTTTCGGTATTCAGAACGCGAACTTGTACCTTCTCCGGTAGCTCGATCCATCCGCGCCTCTTTTTTCTTCGTCTCGCTGCCTCGAAAACACAAAACGGTTCGAAGGACGCACGCGAAAAATAAACAAAAAGGGAATCGGAGTTCACGATCGCGTCAGTAGTGCGCGCGTGTCGCGTCGCGTGAATATACGGCGCGCGCGTGAAGCGGCGGCGGCGGGTGGCGGCGGACTGGCGGCGCGGCAGCTGCGGCGGCAGCGCGGCGCGGCCAATGGCGTGCGGTCACGTGACGCCGGCTCCCCGCGCCCGCACGCTTGTTTACAAATAATAATAATAGGGCCGGTGGTGCCGGTGGCGCCGCCTCTACACCGCGGCCGCTACGCGCTACGAGCTACGCACAGCTGTCGCTGCATTTGGCGGGATTCGATTAGGAACATTCGCCCAAAGCTTCGATCTGTTTACTTGAAGCTTTCGTGTTGGCGTTCTATCGATCCACGCAACTTTTGAGTAGTTCCGTGTCCGCCGCTACAACAGTTTTTTCTCTGTTATAAGTATACGACGTAGTGAATCTATCACGTGCTTTACGTACCAAAGTAAACGATCCCCTTGTTATCAGATTTTGTTTATTGGTTTTAAAAGGGTTATCCCGTGCCCATTAACTAAATTATTCTGCAATTTTTGTTGGGAGGGTGTGACATCCATCCCTATTTCGCGACAGGTTGATGTTTCCGATTGTTTTGCGTTCAGGATGTAAGGTGCAAGGAGGGTTTCAACCCCAGTGCATACGGTGGCAGTGTGGCACCTATGGCGCCGGAATATTCCCCTCGGCCTAATATCTGTGATCTGAGGTGCCCCATGGCCTCCCCATGCTTATTGGGACGGGACACTTGACAAACTTATTCTTAATTGATCCCTTCACCTATTTATGCAGCACCCTAATATTTCCACTTTTCGTATTTAACCTGTTTCCCCACAAAATGTGAACAGAGTAAGGTTTTGTTAACTTAGGGGTGTAGAATTTCTTCAGGTGAACAAAAGCAGAATGTTTTTTGTAGATGTGTACTAAAGTTTTAAAGTACAAATACTACTCGTTGTTAAACGCTTGTATTATCGACTAAGCGAAATCCCCAAAATATGATTCACATCCGACAGTTCAAGTAAACACGTCCGAATTCTCGGAAACTTCCAATATTTTGCAATCCATCCCATCGCACCCCTCGCAAAATGACTCATAATGTGAACCCAAAGAATACCAAAGTTATTTTCTAGTTTTAGGGTATTGCAAAGTTGTGGAAGCATTAAACTGTGGAACTCTCTGCTTGAATCGATCAGACGCACTAAGTGTCGTATTCCAGAACTCTACTCAATACTCAAGTCAGGGCTTGAGTATTGCAGTGAGCACTGAAAATCATACTCAAGTCCTTGCCATTAGGGTCGTATTTCCAGTGCTTGAAATCACACTCTAGTCTGCTCAAGTCCTGACTTGAGCATTGAGTAGAGTTCTGGAATACGAGCCTAAGGGTTGTATTCTAGAACTCTACTCAATGCTCAAGTCAGGACTTGAGTATGATTCAAAACACTAGAAATCATACTCAAGTCCTTGCCATTAGGGTCGTATTTCCAGTGCTTGAAATCATGCTCAAGTTTGCTCAAATCCTGACTTGAGCATTGAGTAGTGTTCTGGAATACGACCCTAAGTCTGTCGAGTCTTTCAAAATTTTAATCGAAGCTCATTATCTTATACTCTAATTATTGTACTCTCCTATTCTTACCTGTTTTAATTTTTATGTGTTTTCTTAATTTGTTGTTATTTATTTATTACTATTATTTTGGATACCAGTTTTAGATTATTATTATTATACTAATTCTTTTTTTTTTCATTTGTGTATATGCAATATGTGTATTAAATGCGTATTCTGTTGCTCCCTCAATTAATTATTATCTTACAGTTTTTCCTGTAATCCGAAAGTTGCCTGAAAGATATTGCTTTATAGCAGTAAGGCCGCCTGTTTTACCTGCCTTTATTTGTGTTCTTATGTATTTGTCTCAGTGCAATAAAGAATATTTGTATTAAATTGTTGTTTAAAGAAAGTGCTGACTGTTTTCTATTTGTTTACATTTTCCGGTAACTGTATCTATCTAGGTACATAAGTTGTATGACACCCGTACGGACCTGAAACCCGTACTACAATCCGTCCTCACCACCTTTCGTCTACGTGCTTGGATGCACGCTAGCCTTTCTATCACTCACGGCGTTTAGGTATCAGGAATATATCTGCCATAGTTCGTTTTTGGAAGAACCCCACTATAAACATCGTTATAGATCATGGTCAAGCGCTAGTGACTGTCTGCCAGATTAATATATATATTGGCTTTGACACACCTCCAAAACATAGCCAATTTATGAATATTATGCATCGGTATTTCTACGTTTACTTCTAAGTTTTTGTAACCAGTAATTTTAATATACTACTATACTAAAACGGTACTGTAATAAAACGAACCAAAAGCGAACTTATCTAGGGATTAATGCTACATTAAAAGTACCAATTCTTTGGAGGTACGACCCATTTAAAATACTTGGTTACCAAGATCACGAAGAAGAGGTACGAAGCTCAGGCTTTGGTCACCCATCCAGGCACTGATCAAGCGTGACGTTGCTTAACCTTGCTAGTCGTTTTGTAGATGTAGAACTTAGCTATATATACAATTGAAACATTCTCCCCCTATAAAGTGACTCATCAAAATTTCACCACCCACGGTATTACGGAGTCACTCATTTTCTGATCAAACGTCATTACTTCTCGAATACATCATTGGTAGCATCTGGCAGTCATTAATATTATTATTTCCATTATATTTTAACAAATCATAATTCATTTGCACATGTTTTTGCTGTTTCATTCTTTCGTTTTTTAATTATATATTAAATAATAAAGGTTTGCATTTTGTGGAGTAATCGATATGCGTTAATGTAAATTTGTTTCTAAAGTAGTCAATAACTATGATGCGTATACGTGTGTCGGTTTGTTTGTAATTAGAGATAACAAGCTGACAGTTAGCGGGTTGCCAGTTTTTGATGAAATAAAAATAGTGTTGTCTTACAAAATCAACTTTACTGATACACTCAGTAACCCGTCAGGGTTTATCTTTTTGATAATTTCAAATTTAAAAAAATTTAATACAAAAGTAACAGAAATGTGAGCAGACTTAGGGTCGTATTCTAGAACTCTACTCAATGCTCAAGTCAGGACTTGAGTATGATTTCAAGCACTAGAAATCATACTCAAGTCTTGATTTGAGCATTGAGTAGAGTTCTGGAATACAACCCTAAATCTAAATGAATTATTAGTTAGCTACTAATGTAAGAACTCACTATATTTGAGAACTTTGAAATTGTAATAATATTTTTTTGATTATTTAACAAGAATATTTAGTAATTTTATTTTAAGACGAACTAAATATCATACCTAAAAAGAACTGCTATTTTTATAACAATTCCGGGACACAGATTACTTTCAATTTGTGCCTTATGTGTGGTATTGTTATTCAGTGTTTATGCATTTTATTAGTTTCATTGTCATTTTTGCTCAGGTGTGTCCATATTTGATAAGAATATTCTTATCCATTTCACGCTATATTAGAATATTCCCGTAGGTTATACTTCAAACTACTTCTATATGAGTCACAGACCCATTTGACATGTTTGTTTTTTTATTAATTTGTATTTCCTCTTTTTTATTGCATATTCAGTAAATAAAGTAATTATGTATAATTTTATTATTGCTTCCGATAAAAAAAAACCATCATTTCTTACGTAACCTTCGTTATCACTTTTCCGAATACATTTGCACAACATCAAAAATTAAAGACTGCAACTCGCAAACCGTTCTTGCATCGAGACACGCCAATTTCATTCCTACAAAAGTGCGTAATATCGATTACTGGCTCCCTTGCCCTATAGTCCATCTCGTTCGCACAACGCACACTTGCGTACTTGCGAAACAAAGAAGGGGGTAACGCAAACGAAGCGCGAACTGTTGGACTTTACGCTGGTAATATAGCGGCCATTTTGTTTTTCTTCATTCTACATAGGACGTTTTTTGTTTTTGGCGTGCTTCCCCGCTTGGTCGCCATGACAACCGATCTGTCACACGCACAGTACGTAAAACGCAAGCATTGATTTTTTCCTCGCTTCCTCTTTTACTTTTACGCGTGTCGAACGACTTTTTGCTTGAAATTTTATTTTTTTGAAAGCGCGAGTTTTGGCTTCGAAAGTGCTTTCGGTATTATAGTGCGCGACTTGCATTTGATATTTTGCTATTTTATTGTGAAATGTGATTTTATGGACTATTATTATTAATAATAGAATTACCTTTAATTAGTGTTGTTTTTGAATTGCATTGTAACTTTTTAATTGTAATTTTAGAACTATTGTTAATTTTTATATTTCGTCGAATAGTTCAAATCGGTAATGTATAAACGTTACATGTCGTGCAAAGTTTAAAAATTGGCTGTTTATGTATGTAAATATCGATTAAAAATCACAAAACTATATTATTGCAATAAAACGAAATTCAAAGGGAATGTACGTTGGATTGATAAATACTGTAACATCAAGTTAGGTTAAGGGAAATTTTGTTAAGGTAGGCTCGACCCCAAGGGTGCGGCCCAAGGGTTTTCATCCCCCGCCCGCACCCCGCTCTCTCGTTAACTCAATAGAAGAAAAACATGTTGTCTCGGAGGGCAAAACATGAGTCACCGGGTCCGCAAAAAAATTTTCAAGAGGTTGCAAAAAAAGGCACCAAGATTGAAATTGAGAATTTTTTAGGGGATTGATAGGTAATCAGCTATCTCTTACTAAATGCCTATCTGTAAGGAACATTTGACTTTTTCGCTACTTTAGAACTTCTGAAAATATCTCGCAGACCTTCAGAGATCATCTGTGTGTAGTTGATAGATAGCCGATTGCAATAGGTGTTAATATAACCATGCAAAGCCGAGAACTTTGACGATAAGCTCTAAGAGTGATTTAAACAAAGTCGATTCCAGCTTGAACCTACTTAAAATGTAACAACAAATTACCATACGAGTACTTGAAGACTTTAACACGTGCCAAAGATTTTCATATATACGTTGTTTGCTTTTTGTTTGCAAAAGTAATATTGTTGTAGAATATTTTGACAAAATAAAAGAACACTGTAAAAATTAGGCACAAGTGTTTTATTTTTAATAATAATTACTATTATATTACATTATTTACTAAAATATATTTTACAATGGATGAAAATAATTTAATAAATAACCGCGTTAAATAAACAGAAGCAAGGGATATTGAAAATAGTTTCGAGTGTAACTAATAAACAAAAAAAAACAAGTGTTATGTATTGGGTCTCATACATATAACTTAGTGAGTTTCTATTGACACATTTAAACTTCTTAGTCGTCATAATTATGACCAAATACCTTCTCGTTACAATTAAAAATAGGAGTTCAGTCCGATTTTTAAAGATAACAAACGGACATTTAGTGGGTTGCTAACTTTTCATAGAATAGTGTTGTCTTAAAAGATTGAATTCACCGACTCACTCAGTAGGTAATCAATGTAAATAACATATTTTTAATAATAATATGTAAGTATAAATTTAATGATTAAATAAATGAAATATTGTTGAGCACATTAATAGTCTTACAAGATCAACTTTACTGACTCATTTAGTGAGTCGACAAGGTAAATTACATCTTTTTAATCTTTATTTGGTATTAATTAAATTTTTATTAAATTGATTATTTTTTTTTTTACAATTATTTTTTGTGAAATTACTCCACTAGTTTGTTATAATTATTAATACAAAGATCGAATATTTAGAAAAAATCCTTCGACCCGGCCGGATTCGAACCGACGTCTTCTAGCAGACCGTCTCAGACGCTACGCCAACTAAGCCACGGAACGAACCAGCGGACCTTACGAATTTTTCCATGTGCTTGTTGTGGGATCTTTGTATTTGGTTTTCATTGACTTTTTATAACAATAATAATATTATAAAAAGTCGTTGTGCCTATGTTGGCATAGACGATTTGCTAGAAGACGTCAATTCGAATCCGGCCGGATCGAAGGAATTTTTCCTAAGTGTTCTTTGTATTAATAATTATTACAAAACACTTGGTATTAATTTTAAAAAATCATGACTTATAATAGAAAAGTGATAGAAATATGAAAAGACTATATGGAAATGAATTGTGTTATAGCAGATCAATAGTTCAACATTCAATGTTTATTATGGAGCATACATAGTATTGGAGCTATATTACTGGAGTAATTATTATCACAAAAAAATTATGAGTAATCATGGATGATATTCAATAAAAATAACTATCTTTAACTCTTCTTTTTGTCTGACTCTGTTTCAGTGAGTGAATGAGACACGCAATCAACATGACAACATTATTTTTGAAAATGCTATTATTAGCTGCCAGTTTGTTTTTTCAATCAAAAATCAGACTATATATAGGTAAAAAGTTAAAAGGCATACTCGCATCCCACCGCCATTTAAAAAAATGTATAAAAATCAGAAGGACTAAGTTCGAAATGTCTCCTTTATTGCTTAAGTTTACTATTATATTTACATTTTTTCTAAGTTATTAATACTTAGTTATTGTTTGTTGTGCCGCGAACAAATTTCTAAGAGGAATTCTAAGAATTTTGTGCTATTTACATAACAGACTAAGGCGGGAATTTGGGATTACACAAATTCTACACTATTAAAATTACTACGTGTAATATAATTTTCAATCAATGGCCAGGAATTCTTCTTGAAATTGCCTAGCAGCACAAAATTATGGTAACATTTTTTTATACAATTATAATACTCTGCCTTAGGGTGAAACAAACATCTTGGCCTATTTAAAAAGCTAGGCTCCACAAAACATGTTTACACATACTAATTTTAATACGTCATGACTTCGTTATATGAAAACTTAAGAAAAGGCAGTGACTTCATTATTAAACTCTATTGAGAGAGCTCCACTAATCGACTACGTTAAATCAAACCGATGTAATAATGTTAGGAGCGCCATCTAGTATTGAGTAGCAGCAACGTGAACATGCTGATTATTTAAGTCATAGCTAATCACAACGACAAAATTACATGTTGAATCCAAAAATTTTATATTATTGGACATTACTAATTATAGTACATTGGCAGCAGCTAGGAATCCAGAATAAGTCTGTATATAATTGATTTCCTGTAGATTCAAGAGCTACTAAACGTTTTTGTATATATTTTTGTTGACACTGAGATCTGTATCCAGTTGGTATCGAGCAGATTCCATTGCATTCTGTTGACCTGTCAAAAACATATTAAATAAAGAATATCATATAGAGTGACTAAATACTAAAACTTCTTAGTAATTGTTGGTTGAGGCTATATCTTAACAGATGGCGATGGGCACAGCAAAATTTGTTGTAATTTACAGTAAAAAATATAGATGGCGTTGTAAGTACATTTTCTCAAAACAGCCTTTTTTTGCGGTCATTGCATTTAATTACATTGGGCTTTGAAATTTTTAGCGTTACTTTTTGAAATTGCACATAGTAGGAAATACTTACATGCAAACCTCAGTCTTGACCAACTGCGTCATATTTTCGGGCATGTTAACAACAAATTTCCAATTGCCTCTGTTGTTCATTGCCGCCCGAGGCGTAATGTATTCGGTTCGGGATCTGCACAAATCTATCGTGTTCCCAGCTTGCCGTCGCGTTCGTTCCGCTGATTCCGCTGAGGTTTCCGCGCTGCGGGATTAGAAAATAGCACTTAAGAAAACACAAAGGTTGGGAAAACGTGTTTAATATAGAGCCAGGTAAACCAAAAGATATATCCACTGACGGTTAAAGAAAGTTCTGGATTATTGAGTATGAAAGACAGAATGTTAAATTGTGAAGTATATAGCATCAGCATGTTACAATATCGGACTGACCAAAATGTAACAAAAAGTAAGAAAAAAAACGTTCTCAATTTTGGACCACGTCGCAGAGAATGACCTCTCTTGAATAAGATACGGCCATCTTGAAATTTACGGTCAGAGGATGTAAGGGTAGATATAGTAGGATGCATTTTACCTGGCAAGGCCCAATGCTATCCGTAGCGCTTCAGCGCCTGTTAAGGTTCTTTTGGAAGCAGCTTTTACCAGCTCGGCGTTACGCTTCTTGCGATGCCGGACGGCATTTGGGCGACTGGGGAACGATAACGACCGTCCCACTAAGACATTAGATCGGGATGGAGAGACGTATCTGAAAGTAAGAAAATATAATAAAGAATTCGCAATCTTAGTGTAGTGAGGCGACATCTGCAAAATAATAAATAACTTTTTTAAGCTTCATTTATGGGAGTTAGTTTACATCTATATATATATATATATATATATATATATATAACTTGCTTAATGTACTTAGTATTATTTTTATGATTTTCAAACATTTGGCGTATGATCACAAATGTGGCTTTATTGTACGAATGGTACGAATTATAAACTCCTTTTTTTATTATTGTTCTTACAGATAAGTTTACGTTCATGCATTTAAAGATAACCAGTTGAATCGAACGAAAAAAAGCGAATTACGGTAAAAAAAATCCATAACAAAAGTTGTATATGTATACTTTTTTTATTGAATTGATATATTCCATTAGTTTTTATGTCAAATAACTTACTTCACTAGTTTGTTATAATTATTGACACAAAGATCGAACACTCAAAAAAAGTCCTTTTAGTATTTTTTAAATTTTGTATTCGGTTTTTCAACGACTTTTTAGCCGTAGCGCCATCTATGAGAAATATATGAAAGTTATTGTTGAAGAGTTGTATATATTCAACATTTATATAGGTATTCTTAAACTTTTATTTGAAAAATACACACAATTACTCTACGTTAGTAAGCTGAACTATATTATTTTACGTACTCAATACGATTTTTGCGAACGAGAATGCATTATGTCACACTTAGGAATTGACAGGAATTTTCCAGTCGTTGACTTGCAAAGTTGTTTACGTGTACTAAAGAATAATTAAAGATATTTTGGGTCATTATGAAATAATACCCAGTATGAAGCACGGTATTACACTGTTTGGGACTTCCCAACGGTTTACGGTCGTGAGAACGATCGCGATGTATCTCAACAATGCGATGAACAAATTTCGTTACGTCTAGCGAATCCTTGATTTCGACACCTAGTTGAGCGATGGAAAATACCGTGTGGAAATCTATGTGTCATCGAAGTACGGCGAACGGAGACCATTCATATGAAACTCTATGCCATTAATAATAAGTCCAAAGTGTAACGCTGTTCGCTATGTAGTGACGTAAACAACTGTAATAAATAGTTTAAGAAAGAAGACACACCAAACCACGCATGAAATAGATGTGTCGAAGCAAGAACAGAATAATACAAATGACACTTTTAATAATTTTGTTATTATATATTCCTTCGTCGGAACCATCTAAAATGTTTCACAATTGCACATTATAACCCGCAAACCTGGGAGAATAAACCTGGTAACTTGAATCTTCGATTGGTAATCGACGAAGACCAAACTATAAAAACAGCTACAGAAAATACAGTTGCGTGGAATGACTCGCATGATACTGGTGTATTCTGTGACTTTTCCTAGGCATTTGATTGTGTGCACCATTAAACTTTGGTCAGGAAACTTCGCCATTATAGCGCGGCGGGCCGTGATCCTTCGTGACCTTCTTAAATCGTATTTGAGTGGTAGGATCCAGAGAGTCCACGTCAACGGTACGAGGTTAACAGGCAGAGCTTAAGTTAGCATGGGTGTCTCGTAAGGTTCAATTCTAGGTCCATTTCTGTTATGACTTGAAACTATGTGAAAGATACCACGAGACATGAATTAGTATTGTTTGCTTGCCATACTTCTTTATTATTAAAAAGTTAAAAGGCATCGGTATGCTTCTGGCGATGTGAAAAATGCTATTACAAATAGATTGTGTAAAATTTATATTAGCTAATGTTAGACAGACAAGTTCAATCCTAATATTTAGAAATTAAAAAATAATGTCGATACAGTCGATTTTAAGGGTAACTTTAGATGCTAAATTGTAATCCACATATAGCCAATCGATCAAAGTGACTCTGTACTGCAGAATATGCGATTTAAAGAAACTTAAATTTTTAGACATTGAAACCGCTAGATTGGTTTGCTTCAACTACTACCATAATTAAATTAACTGCTGTTAGCTTAGAGGAAATGCCGCTGATGTTAATACTTGTACAATCTTTATGTTATTTATATTTAAGAGCGCTGTCAGTGCATTTTACCATCTGAGACCCAAAATGCTCATCGTGCGTTCCCCTTATGTCGTGACGACAGATACTCGAGCATATTAAAGCGTCGTGGTCTGTATATTTAAATGAAGTTGTTCACATATAGTAAAACACGGGTAACTGTTGTTCACGACTTTATTGACGTTACGACGATAGACTGTCGTGACAATAGGAAGAGCTAGAACGATAGTCGTCAGACGATAAATAAAACATCATGATACAAATGTGACGATAGACTAATAATCGCAGCTTTAAACCATTCTGTCGTGCAAACTTGTCACGATCTAGTGGGAACAGCTAGACACGACAGTCGTTCAACGATAAAATAAACGTCGACGATACAATTACGACAGATAGTCGTGATGTGGGAAGAGGCTAGACGCGACAGTCGTTCAACGATAAATAAAACGTTACAACATAATGGGTAAGCGCCCCCAGAAAGGTAAGTAGTGACAGTCGTTATTAATATAACATAGAAAATAAACTGGCTGTTATTTACAAAGCTGGCTGTCTTCACAAAGCTACAAAACCATTGAATAGGTGCAATTTGTACGCTTCTGCAAAAAGATTCCTGTTGAATTTAAAATTTGCTATTTGCTTAGCTTAAAACAATTGTAAAACAAAAACTTTATACAGAATATTATTATTACACAGCTTTTGCGCATTTGGATGATAAAAAAGCATGGGAGTTTAGTTTTTTAGGTTGTTTCTGCTTGTGAACAAATACCTCTATTTACAAAGAGTAGAGTTTCTTGCTTGTTCTTCTCAGGGGAGTCTATTTTTCAAATGATTGACAGTGTTTAATCAATTTTACTTCAAGTTTAAAGGGCAAAACGTCGCATTGCAAACAACACCACTCAAGTCAATTCGATAAATTTTAAAGGAGAGTTAAAACTGTATATACAGGGTTATTTGTAAAATACTGATCATTATATATATTCCTACTTTTTACAAATACTATCTGCTACTTTTTAAATTTGGTAGTACGTTCAAACGTGCAAGCGTCCTCCCCGACGACCCCCACACCCGTTCTTGCAATTTGCGTCGGATTGGTATTAACTTCTTTTGTTACCGTTCAGAATTGTTCCCATTAAGAGCGATATTTAAATACTTTTTTATATTTGTACGTAAAGAGAATCTGATGAATTAAAAGTCAGTGAACAAAAGTTCTTGTTTATGCCCTTAGTAATATAGTCTTGCGAGGTTGTTAGTACTGCCCTCCTTGTCATAAACAACGCATTTGCATTTTGATAACTAAAGCTTCAAGCGTGAAACATACAGAGAGCGGGTGCGGGTCGGGCGCATCTCGGATCGGGCGCGAGTCGGGTCGGGCGCGAGTCGGGTCGGTCGCGAGTCGGGTCGGGCGCGAGTCGGGTCGGGCGCGAGTCGGGTCGGGAGTGTTGTCGTCCATATAAATACACGGAATTAGATTCGCCGCGGTCCCGACCCGATTCGCGCCCGACCCGCACCCGTTCTCTGTGTGTTTCATACTTAATTATCACCTAAGAGAGTGTCAATTACGCGAATTTTGCTTAACAATAAAATTTAAAGTAAATAAGATACAAATAATTGCTTATGTTAATAACTCAATTTTCGCTAAGAATGTCGATCACGTCGTTTACGGCGGTAGAGTATTTTACAAATGACCATGTATTATTGCGTACAAGATTTTTTAATTTCCACTTACTTCCACCATTCGCTAGGATTGTAGTGCGTAACACCTACGCTAGCTGCTGGTCGAATCCAATCATTATTGTTGAAGTTCGGGTAAAAGCTCGGCGGCGTGTTGAAAAAATTCTGATTGTAAACCGCCACATTGTTCGGTAGATTGGGGGCAATATTGGACCCAAAGTTCGTCCCAACATTTGGCCTGTAGGCTTTCTTGCTATAATCAGCGTCGTATTGTTGAGGGCTCCAGTAGCCGGGGTTTGAATGGTAGCCGTGGAACCCGAATTTGGAGAAATTTTGGGATTGGTATGCGTTGATGTTGTATGGCGTTGGATCTACGGGTGATGGCGGCTGGAGGGGTGTCTTTTGGGAGAAAATATCTGGAAAATAAGTACAATTCATTTATTAAGAACGTACTTCCATTTTTTAATTTTTATATATGTATGTACCTCTATTTTTATAGAATTTACATCACAGATATAGATCAAGTTTAGTCTGGTCGGTTATTTTACTTTTTTATTTTAGGTCTAAATTGAAAATAAAAAAATTCTCGATTGTAATTTTTTCTTTCATTTGTTTTAATTTCCTACTAAGGCTGTTTTCAGAGCAGTACGGATTTATCCACGGGTGCGGTGTAACACGTGTGGCGTTAGAACATCGTTTTACAGTGACGCGAATTGCTCTGGACGGAACATTCTCCGCGTGAACTCCGCTCCGGTCCTGTCTACCGTGAATATCCGCAATAAATTAAATACTCGATTCCTGTTTAGATACTCGACCGTACGCACAGCTGAGAAACCGGCCTAACACAGGTTTGTCGAGTAGTTCGAGGTTAATTTTGGGTTCTTGTGAATTTCGTAAAGTTTTTTTAACTTTGATTTAATCAGTGTTAAACGGCTACAATTTTTTGTTTTTCAGCCGTTTTTGATTTGTCATAAAATCCAAAAATAAATGCTGGCTCTCAATTTCAATTAAAAATAGATTGTAAAGTTAAAAAAGATTGCAATAAGTTAAAGTTATGATACTTTTGACACTAGTTGTGTTTGCGAATTTGCGCACTACGTCCACTTCGTATCAGGGGGTCTACTCTCGATCTCTGTAAGACATCCGTTCGAAACAATTACTGTCAAATAAGTAATATTCGACCAAATTAAAAGACAGGTATCAAGTATGAAGCTTCATTCGCATCACGCGTCTTTTCATTTGGTCGAGTATTGCTTATTTGACAGTAATTGTTTCGGACGGATGTCGGACGGAGATCGAGAGTAGACCCCCAGTTCCGAATCCGAGAAATGACGGTCCGAAATGTCACAGGTGTCCGAAGTGTCAGTTTATGTCTAGGAGTATATTCGTATTTTCTCGGATTCTAATTGGAATTAGTGCACAAGCGACATCCGAAGTGGGTCCGAATTTTGTAGATTTTTATAGTCTTGGATTCGGAACGATTTCCTATCTTTATGTAGAAGGGCTGTATCTCCTAACACTATGTCAAGCCTAAAAAGAAGCATCAATGTGAAATTAACAAATAAAATATTTTTATTTTTAATTATTATATACTTTGTGTCCAATTCCTATTCACTTAAATATTAATGTTACTATTTTATATTCTCACTTGTTTGTTGCTTAATGTGCCGTGTATATAATTCGACAAGTATGTAGAAGATTCTCAATTTTGTTTTCAATTTATACACAATAGAATTTACACGTACAGTCAAGCTTGACACCAAAAGGTTTAAATTTCACTCTAGGCTGCTTGCAATAAGAACGGTCCAAAGTCCAAAGTGTCAAGCTTGATGTGCTCTTGACTGTACAGTGTCCCAAAAACCAATTTTGGTTTTCCAACCGTTAATTTAGTTGTAGGATAAGATACAATGATAGCAATAAATTCTACTACATGACTAAATTAAATGAAATTCGACATTACTTACCATGGTTGTATCTAGTATGAAATTTAGTATTGTAGTCTTTTGGATACACTGATACATCGTTGACGAGTGATATTTGGTCCACGTTCGGTAATGAACCGGGCCCGTATCCGTATGGATAATCATTCTTCTTCGATCCGAAATCTTCACGACTTTCGTCGGACAGTAGTGTTCGGATGTCGTATTGGCCAGCATCTATAAGCTGCCGGATTATATGCCTGAAATACATAGTACAGAGATGGTAATTAGAGTTATAATGTCAGCTGCAGCCGATAAACCAGGTAAGTAGATGGGGAAAGAAAGAGAGAGAGAATAACACATGATGACGAATTCTTCTTTTTAGATTTCAATTCCGGCGGCAATTTTTTCTTACCAGTTTAGTGGGCTATAACAGGGAAACAAATTGGACAAGTCATAGAAACCATTTATTGCAATGCCACAACACAAAAATACACAGAAAGAAAGAATAAAAAAAACAAAGAAGTCAAATTTTAAACAGTCAACACAATTTGACTAACTGCCACAGCCGAGATTAAACAGTGACGGTGGTTTTCAGTGGACCCTAAAATCGAGTAAGACGAGTGTGACGAGTACCTACCGGACGTGTGTGACGAGTGTATTAAATCCCTATCAGTTGAGTAACTCGTTATTAGAATGCGGGTAAAGCAGGGTGTATTAACTTCCTCTCTGCTTTTTAACGTGTACATGGACAACCTTGTCGAGGGTTTTAGCAGTATGCATTTGGGCTGTCAATAATCATCACTTACGTCGACGATTGGTGCTGCTGGTCTCCTCGATAAATGATCGGAGGAAGCTGCTATCCTATTGTGAGTCATACATGAGGGTTCATGGTTTGAAATATCAAGAAGAGTAAAATAATTCGTTAGCGACGTCAAATGTCTTAATTACAAGTTTAAATAAAATAAATTTATTAGGTTTTTAAAATTATGATAGCGGCCAATCTAAGTCTGGAAATAAAATCACATTTAAAATAAACTGTAATTACTAAATAGTACGTATCCGGACTGATATTTACAACTATCAGTTTCTTAACGTCGAGCGACATCTAGCCCCTAAAAAAGGAATTTCAGTATCTTCGTATGGATATGGCCCACATTTAGTTCACGTAATATCAGATGTACTGATTGGACCGATTTGTAATAAGCTAATAAATGGTTAACTACTTCATCATAAAAAATAAAGTCGATAATTTCTTCTCCAAAATGCCACGCGAGAAAATGATAAAACGACGAAGTTCCCAAAATCAGGGATAGATGGCACGTTTCACAAAAAAATTATTTGTGTCCGATTTACCAGTGTAATAGTCTGTGGTGTGTTATTAATTATCTTAGTTTTTATGGCTTAGCTTCACGCCTTTTGACATTACTAGTATTCAAAATAATTTCCTCTGAACTTTCGCCACGTCACAAACCCACAGCACATTCAGCTTCTATTAACGTTGTTTACGGCTTCTGTAGTTTATTTTGATACAATAATACAGCCTTCAAACTCTTTAATTTCTGTCTTCTCAGAATAGTAACCCCAAAACAAAATTTACATAATTATACAAATGTAATTAAATAGACGCATAACAATTATGTCAACAAAAATTTATATGGGAGTTTGCCATTGTCCTTTATTTCTGATTAAAGATTCCGTAGCTCGGGAACATAATATTACTTACTCGGGATATGGATCCGGGTGTACACAGTATGTGAGTCCTGGCTGGGCACAAGGTGGCGAGTGTCCTGGCGGCGAGGGTTCGAACCCGCAACTCTGACCGTACTGGCAACTATAACCGTCACCACCGCGCCCTGTTGTCCATATTAACTGAAATGATAATTGTTTAGCTGATTAATTATGTGTGCCATATATAACTTATAAGTACACTTAATAAAGCACAAAGAAATAAGTAAACCTATAAAAGTTTTTTTTTTGCGACACGACTGTCCATAACAGTTGCAGTGCCACTCAGAGCTTTAAATCGCAAAGATCTGAGGGGAATTGCCAGTGTGCCCGATATCCTCAGGATATGTTGACAAGTCTCCTGTGCCGGTAATTTCACCAGCACCCTTACCCTTCTAAATAGGAACGTAGCAATGCTAACATTACTGCTTGGCGGCAGAAACAGATAAGGTGGCAGTATTTTCCCTGGACGAACTCTTTCACAGGGGGCTCTATTAAAAACTGGGTATATCGTGTTGCTGATTTTTTTGTTGATCTACTGATGAGTAATATTTTTGTCCACCATTTTGTAGAAGTTATCTGATAATTGTATTAATTGATAAATAAAACTAATTTGTTTTTAAGCACTAATATAAAGTTTAGGCATCGCAACTACATTTTAGAATTGTAAGATTTAATTGTATAACTTTATGAGAAACGTCCAATAATTAAGGCCGCTTTTTATTGTTTATTTTAGTATTAATAGGCTGTCGTGTCACACCAAAACACTGCAAGGTTCAATACAGTGTTTTGTCATTTCATAACAACGAGAACGAGGGAATAGTTATTTGTTAGGTAAGGCTGCAAAGTTGTTGATAGACGCGAGCGCTTGTACTGAAACCTGAGCAAGCGAAGGAAGCTAAGATTGAAGAAAGAAGAAGATCAAAAATAGATTCTTGAGCGTAGCGAGGTTTTTAAGGCACGAGACGCAAAACAACTTTGCTGCCGAGCGAAACACACAACTTTTCACCTCAACAAAGCAAAGAAAATCATCATCATCAGACGAATGAAAAACAGGTGAAGTATAAAACATCAGTTTTTGAGATTCGCTCTGGACCTTTTGGAGGGAAAAGTGTCGTTTTTATTTTGACTTTCAATTATTTTGTGAAATCTAGTTTAAAGTGGAATAGGATAGTGCTATTGTGCCTTAATCGAAGATTAAAACGCGAAATTATACGAATCTCGAACTAAAATACCCGTATCGGCCCGTTTTAAGGAATCCCGAGTCAATCCAAGCACGCCGCCTCAAATTGCCTATCCTGTTTGTGGCGGCCATATTTACTGAAACATATTTAAACTTCATGTTTAGGCTGATGGCTTTGCCAAAGCCTTAATAAATGAATAAAAAAAAACATCAGTTTTTTTACAAGAAAAAGTTTATCTTCGGATGCGTTCTGAATTTACACCTCATCAATTTTTATTCTTGCTTGTACTTTTATTTTGTGTGATTAAGCGATTATTGAAATTGTTTTTGTTCTTCGAAGCATTAAAATAATTTAATAAACACAATTAGTTATCATTGGCGATTTAATGTCAACAATAATAAGAATAAAATATACCAACGGATTTATATTACATAAATAAGTAACGTACAAGTCGCTTATTTGAACGTGTAATAATTGTTTTTTTATCGTCAAGTTCGAATTTCAAAAACCTTTTCCACGCAAGCGTGTAAAAAACGCTTTTGCGCGCAGATTTGAAAGGAAAAAGTTTTAAAAAGAAATTCGTTTTTCAATAGAAATAACGAAACAACTTACTTTCCAAAGTAAAATTATAATAGCTTTGTTATAATAAAAATAGATTTGTTTCGTAAAATTAAATGTATCTTTTTTTGTTATTAACCTTAGAATAATAACGCATAGAATGATAGTTTCATATCAAACGAACTGTCACAAGTGAGACAAAAATCAAATTTATGTAGGCTAGTTTTAGTAGTAGGTTAATTTTCGGTTTTAGTGAATATTTATATAAAAATACAAGTTGAAACGCATTACTTCCTTGTGGAATGTGATGTTAGTATCTATTTTATGTTTGTCTGACGTATTTTTACACTCATTTACCGCACATTTCGTCATTTTTAGCTAAAATTCTGGAGTTGTTCGCGGTGCAAGTTGACCTTGAGCACTGAAGGCCCGAAAATGACAAAAAAATCCTTCACGCAGCTTTTTCTTAAAATGCTGTTTTTGATATTACTTGTTTACAAACATTTACAGTGTTTTGGTTTGACAAGGTAGAGAGTGTCATTTACAATTGCTTCACTTGTATTTAGATTAAATTATAATTAAATAAATTTGTCTTTTATCTTTTTAACCGACTTAAAAAAGAGGTTCTCAGTTGTATTGTATTTTTTTTGTGTGAATGTTACGCGACCACTCCGACATTTGTGAAGCGATTTCGATAATATTTTATTTTGTTGGAAAGGAGGTACTTTAGTGGTCCCTTTCAAATTTAAAGAAAATATTCCACCTTTAAGGATGGCATGGCATGGCATGCGGTTTATTGGATTTCACCCACTTTACGGTAACAAATTTTAATAGAAACTTGGCAAATAGTTGTAATTAAACAAAGTTTTGAGTTCGATGGTTACCTATCAATAGTTCGAAATGACATTTTCCAGAAATAACGTTTGGTCGAATTTTCATAACCTCGAAAGTAATTTTAAGAGGAAAATGTTTTTTTCTTTTAAACCTTTTTTTACCGAACCTACCCGGGCTGGGAGAAATATTCTCGTGAGTATATATAATACTCTCATGAGTTTGAACTCTTTTTATGTGTGTGTCCATCATTGACTAACAAATAAATGGACAACGGGTCTAATACAAAAACCACGAAAAAAATGTCCCAAGTTAACCTATTTAAACGTAGTGACATGTCAAGGAATATGAAAAAGCTAAAACGTTGAATTGTAATGTCATCGCAGTACTGTCTAATTTTGCTTGCTTCGCTGTCAGTCGAACAAACGAAGACTAGAGCGTGAATGACGCTCTGTATACGATTTTAACGCCCTATAAGTTCGGACACTTTTTAGCGCGGACCCGACGTCCATATAATTGTAAGTCAATGGTGTCCATGGCACTCGTGATACAGGGTTTCCCTTGTATCTATGATAATATCTGTGTAGTGCGTTAGTGCGTCGGCAATAAAAAACTCTTTGCCTTAGATAATGAATGTTCCATGGGATTTCGATAAATTAACACGAGATGAAATCCAGAAACAATTGTAGTTAATAAACGCACGCAAAGTACATCTCGTTCTTGTTACACCAACGCCCACCGGTTTGGTTAACCAAATGTCAATGTCACTATTAATCACCGGTTCGATGCCTGACGAAAGCCAATTCAAGATTTGTTGAAAAAGGTCAACAGTGACTAATCATTTTCAACGGAAATGATGTCGATTGATTTTGTAGTGCACATTTCTCAACTATGACCGGATTATAAATGTATATATACAATATAATGCAAATACTTTATATTATACACACAATCGAAGGCCTTTTTGTACAATGTCAATAATATCAAGTGACGGGACGAACTAGTCGTGCTCCTGGTGGCAAGCGACACGCATATTCTTCTCGAATGGAAATAGTAAAACTTCGAGATAAAAATGAGAACCGATGACACCACAGGTGGTCTAAACCAGCACTACGTATCTCGTATTCGTATCGCATAAATGAAAGCGATGCGCGCGCTCCGAACCGAATTTCCGAGTACCTCGCCTTCTCACGGTTTCCTAGAGAAGTGTCTGACTGAATAACAAGATGTCTTATCGATTTCTTATGTTATCACGATTCCTACACATTGGAAACTATTTTTTTGTATCTAAATCGCGTATCAAATATATTTTTTCAAACAAACCAACTAATGTTTCATAAACATACCACCTTACACTGAAGTTGCACTCTTGGTATAATAAGGCCACATCTATGTTTACCACATTTAGTAGCAGTACAACTACTTGTGAAAGAGTTTGTTCAGGGAAGTACACCACATATCGCAACTATCTGTCGTGACTGTATCGTGAACGTTTATTTTATCGTTGAACGACTGTCGTGTCTAGCTGTTCCCATTGGATCGTGACGACAATTTATCGGTTCACGGGAACCGTCTTGTCGTTTGCACGACTGAATTGTTTGAAGCTGCGATTATCTGTCGTCACATTTTTATCGTGACGTTTTATTTATCGTCGAACAACCGCAACTCTAGCTCTTCCCATTGTCACGACGGTCTGTCGTCGTAACGTCAAAAATGTCGTGAACAACAGTTAATCGTGTTGTGCCATGTGTGAACAACTTCATTAAATTTATACAAGCCACAACACTTAAATTGCACGACCATCCGTCGTCACGACATAATGGAAACGGCTCTTATCCTTCCGAACTGGTACGCAGCAATACTCATATTACTGCTGGGCAGCAGAAATACGTACGGTAGCAGTACTTCCTTGGACGAACTCTTTCACAAGGAGCTGTACTAAAATAGAAAGAAAATTATCACAAGGGTCAACGCTTTAAATCAAGGTGCGAAGGAGCGAATTAAACATCAAGTTGATCTTACTTAATGTTATTATTTACAAGGTTGATAGTAATTATCTGTCATCACCTCGTGACATATGTGATTGCTGTGATCCACATTGTGATTTCATAATGGATCAAATATAACGATGATTCAGTACAATGTGGATCAAATTGTTTCTATTGATTGGATCTGTGTCAAGATCTTCGCTGATGGTCTAGTTTTATTTGGTTAAGTCTTGTATTGTTGCTACGCCTATATAATAACCAATCGAATAATGCACGAAAGGAGCGTCCCCGCAATGACCTACGACTCGTAATCCTAATATGTACGTCTGCCGTAACCTGGGCAAGAATCGGCGAGTACATTAACTGACTGGCAATTCAATTCATCACGATGGCAAACGTGTCCCACGCTTCAGCATGACAGGTAGTGGCAATAACTTCTGGTCTCCAATAACATAGTGCATGCCATCGATACGACCAGAAGAAGAATCCAATGATTTTAATCGGTAAATAATCAAACTTTTTCTATAATACTAAGTAATTAAGCCATGGAAAGCGACACACCTATTCATAATAGTTGCAGTGTCTATTCGAGTTTTAAATCGCAAAGATCTTAGGATGTTAGGGGCATTGCCGCTACGCCCGTTATCCTGAGACATAAGTTGTCATGTCCCATTTGCCTGTAATTTCACCAGCACTCTTAACCCTTCCAAACCTAAACATAGTAATGCTTGGCGGCAGAAATAGGTAAGGTAGTGTACTTCCCTGAAGAAACTCTTACACAAGGAGTTCTACTGCTACCAAATGTGGCAGATGTGGCCTTATTATACCAAGGCAGTTTCAGATGGTTTGCTTTAATATTACGTAGTTATAACTGTGATCCCATGATAATAACCTGCAAAAGAGAAACGTACCAGATAACGTTTCTCTTTTGCAGTTGCTTTTTGTTTGAGAAAAATGTATTTGATAAGCGATTTAGATCCAGAATAATAGTTTCTAACGTATAGGAATTGTGATAACCTGAGAAATCGATAAGACATCTTGTTATTCAGTCAGACACTTCTCCAGGACACCGTGGGAAGGCGAGATACTCGGGAATTCAGTTCGCATTACTATAATGATTAAATTACTGCTTGGCGGCAGTAGTAGGAAAGGTGGTAGTACTTCTCTGGATAAACTCTTTCACAAGGAGATATACTGCTACTAAAAATACAAATACAAGTACGAATGTGATTCATTCTTGAACACCTAGTTACGTTAGGTGATTAGTTAATTAAGTATCTTGGAAATTATACTACTTTTTCGGATCCCAATCAGGTATATTTGTTTTGTCAAACAAACCAAACATTACGATCCTTTTACATAGTAGTATGAAAAGTAATTATAGATCAAATTGACTTAAAATGTTTCTTAAACAAAAAGATATTTTAGGTCGCTCTCAAAAGTTGTTAAAAACCAAACGAAAGATCTGCAATAACGACATAGAAAAAATTGTGAGCTCCGGTGGTTCGTTCCGTGGTTAGAAAACAAAAAAGTAACGAGAACGAACACTCACCGCCCCTCCCTAGCTTTCAATACCGCTCCACGCCCCGCACATTGACGGTCACATTGACTGAACGATAACAAGGTTGTAGGCTAGCCGTTTTCGCGCTAAGACGGGTTTGATATTTGAATATAGTTTTCATTTATTCATTACGAAACTTGTACGTTAATACATATATAACATCACTGTACGTTACTATTTGTAGGGGTCGTGAATTGTGCTGTGTACGGCTGTTTGTCATTATCTAAACGGGATAAACATAACAGTTTCTTTCGTTTTCCGACTTTTTTTTTATTTGAGACTCATTCAATTATTGTTTTTTTTTTCATTTATTTAGTGCAGAGTAGAATATATAATACAGATTTATTATACCAAAATAATGGGACGCCATAACTTTGTGAGCTAGTAGACAAGGGTTCTCGAATTTTCAATTTGTGTTGCCGATAAATATTACGTAGTGAATATATCTAACTATTAACTAGGTAATGATAAACTTGGACACGCAATTTCTAATACCTTGTTTATCTTATTTAAAATATATAATATTTATAATAAATATAATATAAAAGTACCTGTCCAAAATATACCATTTTAGGAGATATGCTTTTAATATATTTTTTAAATAAATATTCAATATTATTCTATTAAGTGAATTAAAAAAAAAATATTATATCGATATAAATACCTAACGAACATGTGTAATTATTGTAATTCTATTAATAGAATTATGGATAACAGATAAATGTTAGAATTTTCGATATGTTACCGCTCTGATCACGTAACGTAATAGTACGAGAAAGTGATGGATAACCCTGCCACTTCACGCACACATTTTCGCGTGTGCAGATAGCGCCTTGCTATATGTAGTAGTAGTAGGTAAGTAACTGTCGATTGTATGGAGTGTCCGGGGTATGTCTTGGCTTAGTTGAGAAGCTGGTTGAATCCAGCCGGATCAAAGGGTTTTTTCTAAGTGTTCGTATCTTTGTGTTAATAATTATAACAAACTAGGAGAGCAATTTCACAAAAGAAATAATTAAATATCACGATGGTGAAATATTCTGGCATTCAATAAACTTAATTGCGTAAGTGTTATAATTATTATATTACTTTGCAAAACTAACCACCTACGGCAACAAGTAATAAGTCTGACAATAGAGACACAATTACACAATTTTCCCACGTAAGTGTAACACTTTGTTATATTAGTTTTATAACAGCACGACCTTTGCAACTTCCGATTTTTTTCTCTCCACACATAGTTCCTTAAACACGATTTCCCTGTTTTGAACGAAAGTTAACTTTTTATTAGAACTAGCTGTAATAAATGTGTAACTGTGTTACATGGTGGAATGTAACAACTTATGTAACATAGACATTATTGTTGAATAACTGCAAGAGATTAAAGATGCTTAG